TTGCATCTGTGGAAAACCAATGCTTGTCAAAACCTTCTGTAAACCAACAGATGGTTGCAGCATTTCGCTGCCCCAAATGCCGACAAACGAAGCCCATAAGGAATCGATCTTTCTTTTATAATAGCCGACTCCCAATGTCAACAATACTATGAATCGTACTAGGCTTCATTTGGGGCACACCGGTGATAGAATATGCAGATAGGATTGGCGTATCGCGCACAACAGGAGTCTTATGGTACGTCGCGTGCAGAAATGTGTGCTCCAATGCCCTTCGATGAGGTGCTACCCAAGTAGGTGGTGAGGGTATAGAGGTCCAGATTGACGAAATCTTGGTTAGTCGAAGAAAATTCAACGTCGGACGCCGGAGACGGCAGAACTGGGCGATCGGTATGGACGATACTGATCAATAAAGAACCGTTTTTGAGCATATTAATGACCGAGGTGCGGCCTCTGACTGGAATCATCAGGAAGTGGGTTGTGCCCGAAAGTGCCATTGTAACCCATAAGTGGAAGAGCTACTTTCCATTTGAGACACTGGGCTATACGCATTTCACAGTAAATCACCCGAAAGACCTCGCTGGTTCGACTACGGGCAAACATATCAATGCCATTGAAGCATACTGGAGTCGGTTTAAACGATATCTTTAAAGGATCGGCTGCCTGAGAGGAACCAGTCTATAGGCACACACGGGGGAGTACGGTATCGCCTGTAGTATAAACTAACCTTCATCGGAATTCTACATGCACGGGAGATATTCTTGCAACACATAGCTGTCTTCTATTTGGGAAAAAATGGTTGTGGCGATGGACCTGAGGAAAGCGGCAGATTGCAGAAGGTGGTCTGTAGCCAGACCGTAAGATGTCAATAGTAGAACATTTCTTCACACACTTAATTAGTTCCTTGTGATAAGGCCACTGACAACCGCAGGATATCGGCAGTTGACCATACACCCCCCCGTAGACTATTACGAAGTGAGCTTCGTGGGTAGTGACTCAGCCGGAGATTGCCTTTCGGTTACTCATTAGGCCAGTATACAACATATATTCCCCCTTCCTTCAGTCTGCAATATACAGAAACTCGTGAGCATGCAATGGTTGAGGACTGCTGGTATTTTTTGAGTAAACGTTTCTGATGAAACTGTTTGCATCCTATTTGACGTAAATAATCAGTAAAACACCCAGCCGTTCATCCTTCTGTTCATTGTAGCACGATAAGCGTAAGTGGTATCAAGCATTAACGTGTAAGTCAAGGCAATTTCGTAACACACTGGAGACGACGGATAAGGAACGTAGTGCGGACCAATTGAAGGCTGCCCGTTGTTCAGCGCTGGAAAAAATTTCCACAGCGTAGGCGTTGAAGTAGTTACAAGGGTGTGCTCGCTCGTTAATAAAGCATTTGTCATGGAAACAAATGGATCCGTACGACGCTATTTCTTCGGATGTCAATCGCAGTCTTGTCAAGAGTTTCACTGGTTCTGTGCAGATGGAAATACAGAAGTTTCGGTAGTCATGTTGCCGTACCTTGGGATGCGTGAAATGCGTTTAAGGCATAGTGGTCTGAGAGTCAGGCTGCAATGGCTCCTTTTTTGTATGGCCTCTTAGACACTCCCACTCCGTGGGATTCAAACCGTGCGTGGCGGCACGCCTGGGCGCGGCTTCAGCCGTGCCAACCTCCATTGTCTTCGTTGTTTGTCGAAAACCTAGTTATTTGTTGTGTGGATCAGGGAGTGCGTAGTAGAACGCCAAGGTGTGGGCTTGGCCGCACCATCCACCTGCGCTCTCATCCGTCTCCTGTCTTCCTGACTGTCTTGACACCGGGTCCAGGTGGGGGAGGAGGAGAGAGTGAGGTAAATGCAACGCAAGTCTACTTTCACAACAAATCACGAGCAAGTCACCGTCCCTGCTCCCAGCCTGCTGTTAACACAACTATGAAGACGAATACAGCCCCGGTAGACCGAGCGATTGGTGAAGTCAACCGACGCCATTGCCATTATGCTCTGCACATCTCTTACTTCTACGTGTGGACCAGTAATATTGCAACTGCACATCCTCTTAATACGTAGGTCAATGATATACAGTAGGTGTGCTAACTCATGAAGTGTAAGCTGGAATTTTGAGACGCGTCTCCGTTCCGCAAAGGATTACCTAAGTAGGGTTTTAAAATGGATAATCTTGCAACATAATTCTTTTATAAGGCAGTTACCTCGGGATGCTGGCTTTCGAAGGGACATTTTTCCTGCCACGTGCAAGAACCACACTCTGTAAAAGATGATCACCAAAGTAGCAGGCATGTTTCTCATTGATGTTCGATGGCCTTGAAAAGTCATGCATAAAACTATTCATTCTTTTACTGAGTAGGTAATAAATTACGTCTTCTGGCGATTTTATACTCGAAAGAGCGATGTAGTTCGGTTTTAAAGAAGTTTGTAATTACGAGATTCTTTAATACCGTGAAATACCCGTTCATCAAACATCATGTCTGCATTTACTAATGCTGCGTGGAAAGTTTACAACATAACTCAAGTCCACTGCTAAATTTTATGAACCACCTATGGTTTGCTCTTAATACCGCTGAGAAACTTAGGATTTTCCTTACGCAGAAAATATATGCTTTAAGTCAGTTTAAGTCAGTTTATTAAGGGAATTAGGCTTTTGCCCTTGAGCTCCCTATTCATATCGATAAACAGAAATAAAGTCATCAATTACATCAGCAAATGCGAAAAGTTAAGAAGTTAGCGGTAAGTGTGAGCTAGGCGCAAACTGCCGCCGCTAAAACAATCATTATTATATGTACAGTATGTTCTCAACAAATGAGCGTCTAGTCTGCACTTAAAGGATTTGACACTTTCGGAAAGAACGACGGCATCAGGGAGTCCATTCCATGCCCCGATGACCCTGTGAGAGAAGGCGTTCCGCCGGACGTCCGAATGAGCCCGCTTCCTTTGCAGTTTGAATGGATGACCACGCAGACGGTCAGTCCGGGCCAATTCAAAGAATTCATCAAAGTCTAGGGCACACTCACGGCTTCTGACAATCCTGTAGGTTTGAATGAGCTCGCCGCGCAGTTGCCTGTAATTTAGAGGAAACAGATTTAGTTCGGTCAGCCTGGTTTCGTAAGGCAAATGATGAAGATTCTTGACCATCTTCGTAGCCATCGCCTGTACTCTTTCCAGTCGTTGATAATCTTTCTTCAACCACGGTCGCCAGGCCTGGACTGCATACTCTAAGTGAGACCGGACGAATGCCCCGTAGGTTTTTCCGAACAGCTCCTTGTCGATCTGCACAAATCCTCGCCTCAGCGCAAATAACACCCTTATCGCATTTTTGGCTGCCCTTTGACACTGTGAAGATGGTTTCAGCGAGGAGGTCATTAGGACGCCCAGGTCTTTCTGTTCCACAACATTTGAAAGGGGCTGACCACCACGGACGTATTGAAAGGAATCGTCCTCCTTACTGTGGGTTCCAAACCCTGAATGCGAATGTAACCGTAGGTCGGGCTCACAATGATTCGGGAATTCGAATAGTCTTCAAAAACCAAACTATACCCTTCCTCTGAGTATAAATTGAAAGAATGCGTCATTCTTCTACCGAATGAGTAAAAAGAATGAATAGACTCATGCATGTTTCCCAAGGAGTATAATTACATTGGCAAGGGCATTGAAAGTCAATGAGAAAAAATCATGCTACTTAAGTAGTGTTTTTGCAGGGTGTCGTTTTCGCATGCGGCCTGAATAATGTCCGCTCAAAAGTCATCATCTCGCGATAGGTGAATTATTATATGATAATGCTGCCATATGGGTAATTTTAAAGCTCTACTTAAGTAGTTTGTTGGAAACGAAAACGCATTTCAGAATGTCGGTTAACATTTCATGAGTTAGCACACCTAACATATGCCTGACTGATATTACTAAGAATTTCACTGTTAACTTTATCAGTCAAACTGCAGATAGCAGGACTAATGAGTGAGACTAGTACTGTTAGTTGAAACAGAATAAACAAGCAGGTAATACGCCTACGTGAATGACATGTCAAAGTACTGGGTTAGATCAGAGCTGCTGCTATTAGTGGAAACGCAGGTTTCACTTTCACTATTGAACTAGCTGCATCGAACAGGCCTACTGAAAGTCCTACCGAGTGTAAGGCAATGCGGTCCTCTCCAAGTACTGCCACTTCGGTAAAACGTACTATGCTATTCCCTACGCAAAAACATATGTTTGCTGCGTAAAGTATGGAAAAGGCAAGGTTTGTTCACCCGGATAACAGTTGAAGTAATACGGCAAGACATTGTGCGGCATATGGGAAAGCAAGTCCTTCACCAGCAATTTTCATATGCACAAGCAGTACCGATAACACAAGCAGAAGATGTTACAAGCACTATCAGTTTATGATATGACACTGCAGATCCTGCTGCTGATGATGCTGTCCTAGCGCAAGTAGTACGTAGGCTGTTTGGACTGCTAATTCTACGACTATCCGTAATGCTACTGCAAGTGTGCATTAGGTAGATTGTGTGCCGAAGTCTACGTCGACTCATCATTCTGCAGAACACGTGGTGGCGTTGCGTTATCCCCTAATACTACTACGACAACTGTTACTGTCGTCAATACTCATACCACTAATAGTTCAACCATAAATATTACGAACAGTAAACCAACAAGTGGAAAATTAATGGATACCCGTTTTGCGAGAGATAAGAATTTAAAAGATTAAAACTGAAACAACTAGTCATTTTCTTCCCGTGAGTACCTTTGCCGATCGCAGGCAAACTGCCTATCCACTGGTAAGAGAGTAATGTAACAATCGAGATCCAAATATTGGACTCATAACTAAATGTCAAGTCACCCATCTGTCCAAACTAAGTATGTGTAGCGCAACCTGATCGGCTTACGTCACGTACGTTTCCGCCTAGGCAGGGAGGTTGTATCGGGAGATAGCATGTCCCTGTGAATGTCTGCAGTAAACAGCGTTCAGTACCCCTTGTCCACTATCTGCCCGCGAGCATGCAGCGGCCACCCCAACTCCCCCCTAGTCTTTGTTCCCACGTTCGCAACGCTCCTACAATAACCTTTGCGGTGGCACCAAATGGCTTAGGTAGGTCTAAAAGAAGACACCCACTCAAGGGTCTCCATGCTTGACCCTTCGTGACCTCGAATTGTTCGCAATGTTGCGGCAACTGTTTCCACAGCCCCGCCCGGTGTTTTGTGCCTGCATGCTCCCCTCTCCCCCGTCAAACCAGTCATCATGTTCACAGTTTCAAACTAAACAAAATATTAGAGTTTTCTGACGGACCTGAACTTTCCACTATGTAAGGTCGGTGTTGGCCTCGGAAGACGCCTCTTCAGTCGGCTCCAGTCAAGACATGACCACTGGCCTACCATCACATCCGTTAACCTCCCACCAGACCTACCTTCCTAGTCAATCTGAAATGTATTCACGAGACCTATGTTTGTTCATTCTCCGAGTTATATGGCAGGACACAGGCATGGATAAGCTAAAACGCGCTGGAAGACCCCCCTTACGGCATGATGTGGTTGCGTTCTAGTCACATTTCACCACAGCATGAATTCTCCTTATTCCCACCTAACCCTACTTTGCACCTCGGTAAGTCACAGGCCAGATCTCCAGATAATCTGCTAAGCTAGCGCACGACCTTCCGGAATGCGAACCCTGCAGCCGGATAATGAGATCATGTCGGCTATGAGAACTATAAATGGAAAAATGTGCTCGGCGTCTGCACCTAACTGCTACAGTGAATCTGAAACCAAACCCAAGAAGTTCATTTAAACCGCACAAGCGCGGTAGACAAGATAGAGCACAAAGAACTCCTCTCGGCAAAGAGTTTCGATAAGGAGAAACATACCTTGGTGTCTAGGAAAAATAAGTAAATTTTGTGAAGATAAATTCACCTGGACATTGACACACTGCCGTCGTTTGCAGTGTCATATGGGCAAAGCAGAAATTAATGCGTTAATTGCTACGCCGCGTCCATTCATAAGCAGCATGCGGCAACCGTCAGCATCAGTTCCGAAAGCCAGTTTGTCCGTAGATAGAGGTGGGCACATAACTAGTCACAACTGCGTAGTTTGGTTGGTGTGGGTCATGATGAACTAAGTAACTAATTTATTTTATTTAACTTCCATAAGGACAGTTTCATAGAAGTAGACCTTGAACCGAATTAATCTGAATGACTACGTCCGTTGACTGTGTTATGCAAACACTACGACTCCCACTGAAAAGACTTTGGATAGAGATAATACTGCCAATGCTTCTAAGGTAATCAATAAACAGTCTGGTAATATTCCTACCACCACTGAAACGGTCTATACGAAGACATTTCCCAGCCCTGAAACCATTAGTAGTTGTACATCTACGGCTGTCAGTATTACACTATGGGTAATGCCACTGCAAGCGGAACTGTAAAAATCTCTGCCAGTAATATTACTGTTAGTAGAATGGCAATTTTATTGTTATGGGTACTGCCATCGCAGTCAGCAGTACAGTCCCTATATGAAATACGACAGTCGACAAAAGACTCAGAATTTATTACCGCTGCAGCAACTGCTGGTAAGAAACTTACCAGAACGACCGGGTTTACTACTTCTAAGGCAAATGGTGTAGGCCATCGTGCAATTCAATACGATTAATAGTAATATCAGTATGACAACTCGGTCAGCTGGGTGTAGTTAAACTACATACGGTAACTGAAAGCAATAAATTTAGTGCTAGTAATACTAAAACAACCATTTTCCCAAGGCGCCGTGACTAGTAGTATGTCTGATGGTAAAACTACGTCTACATATAGTACGACCACTACCGTCACTGAAGCAAAAACTGTTTCTGGTGCTATGGCATGTGTCTCTCGCAAGAAAAGAAAGGAAGAACAGTGGACCTGCCCGTACTGAAGTCCACACGGGTACACTACAACAAGGACGAAAATAACAATTTGTGTCTGGAGGATACCTAGCCTCATACGGGCACTTTATAGACTAGTGCATCTAATTCCGCCGTGCGTAATTGTTTTACCTTCACCTGTAAAACAATTACATTGGCTATATCTATTACTTTTTATACTACGCCTGCATCTGTTACTAATACTGGGAGAACGTCTACTTCTACAAAATGTGCTGCCATGGCTGGTGCCAATGCTTCTGCTACCAGTACAACCCCTACTGTAAAAACCATTACTACTAATACTACTACTACTACTATTACTACTACTACTACTACTAGCACGATTACTACGGGTACTACTGCAAAAACTGGCAGCGCAATTATTATTGTTATCATTATCTGTACTACTTTAAAGGCTACTGCGGCATATAGTGCTACTACCGCTCTAAGTGCCGCTCAACGTTGCATTCATGATATCGGGATTGAAGTGAGTCGGTGCGCGTACCACTTTTAACAGCAGCAATGCGGTAAGAAATTTCGGTACCGCTGGCATCACTGCGAATACTTGATCAGTAGAAAGTATAAGGTCTACGACGAGCAATAGTGCTACAAAAGCTGCCGCGGATACTACCTGAAAGATGGTTACTGTCAATGGGTTTTTAACTAGTACTTCTGTTAACATCAGTGTCAGTAACATGTAGAACAACCTCAGTAAGTCTACTGAAAATGGACTGCCAGTGCCTGACGAATTCTCACTGCAGTCAGTAGATGAATACATCCGGAAAATGCAAGCCTAGTACTGCTGGTATGGGTAAATATTAGGCGGTGATTCTGCTACCACAGGAAACTGTTAGTAACACTACTACTACTACTACTACTACTACTACTACTACCACTCGACTAACTGTTATGGTATAGGTAAAGCTGACTGAATAATACTATTGCTAGTAACGCAAATAACTGTGCAGCCATAAATAATGACCTAAATAATAACAATTAAAAGTGACTAACAATATCGCTAATAGATAACTAATGCAGCAGCCACCTCTGCAACGAATAATACTGATAGTGTAGCAGCCTTTTCTCTGTCCCCTCGTTCTACTTTATACGCGCCACTGCTGCGCTCGCTAACCGACGATCTGCAATCCCGTCCACACCACAATCCTGGTCAATAATTTGCCACTACCCTCGCGTGCTCTCGAAGCCAATCACTGCGATCTCCTTCGCTGACTGGTCATAAGGGCACGCACGGGACGCCGCCCTTGCGGACGCGATTTAAAAATAGACAGAACAGAGACAAAAAGGACACAACACCCTTTTTGGTGGTAGCGACACACAGAAGGCACCGCAGCTGACGTTCGGTTGGATACCAGTGTCGCAACACTCCGTTACTGATGCTAGTATTATTGCAGTTAGTTATCCATACTGTAAGCGTTGGTAGAGTAGCATTGGCAGCCGTGGTGGCGGTGGTAGTAGTAGTACTAATAGTAGGATTATTAGTAGTGTTCGCCGTATCAGTGGTGGTAGACGGGGGAAAAAGTTATCTTCAGTGTTGCGACACTATATTCCCGCCAGTGGTAGTAGTATTAGTAGTAACAGCGGTAGTAGTGGTAGTAGTAGCAGTAGTAGTGGTGGTGGTAGTAGTAGTAGTATTAGTGGTAGTAGTAGGAGAAGTAGTAGTAGTAGTCCGCCCGTAAGACAGGCTGGTGGGGGAATAGACAATTCTAAGTGTTGCGGCACTGTATTCCCGCCTGACGTTCTCCAGAACGAACACTTATCTCTGTCAAAAGCATACAACCAACTTACGGTGACCTGCCCTGTGTACAGAATAAACCTGTTCTCACAACTTCCTGACTTCTTTTACTAGTCGGAGCAAAATTATTGTATGCGGTTAAGTTGACCTAACATCCCTGGCCACTACAACAGAAATTGCGGTAAGCGATAATATACCACTAGTATGATCAATACGCCAAAAGACATGACGGACGCCCACTCGACGGGAAAAGAAGCAGACGCAGGAGTTTAAAAACATGTGGAAAATCGGAGCGTTGCGACAGCGGTATCATACCAAAATTTCTTCCTCGTATTCCTACATCGCAGATATTCCGTAAAAGAAGCCTGTGTGAGTCACTGTCAAAGGCCTTCTTGAAGTCAACAAATATGGCATCCATTGGATAACCCATATCAGTAGCTCTTGTCCATTTCTTGTGCGAGTAAAGAACTCTCGTTAGGCAGGAGCACCATGGACGAAAGACATGTTGGCATCACACAATACTTTCTTTTTTTCCAGGTAGTGCATCAAATGCCTTTTGATAATGCGTACCATTTATTTACACGCGATGCAAGTAGGACTAACGGGACGATAATTTCCTCAGCCAAGTCGTGAGCCTCCTTTGTGGATCGGAGTGTTGAGTGCGCGCTTCCATTGTTCTGGGAGCTCGCTTTCTTCAGATGACTTTTGAAATATTGCAGACAATAGTTCGCACAGTTCATTAGCAAGTTCACAAGGTGCTAGCGAGGGAATTCTGCCTGGGCCAGGCGATTTGGCAGGTTTCAGTCGGAGTAGTTCGGTCCTAACTATATTCAACTAGCTGGGCCATGCCACGCGTTGCTGTGGCTTACTCTGATGAATTGGGAAATAAGGGAAATGAGGAAAATGTAAGGGCCACCGGATGGCGGTATGTATCATGTGCGAAACCCAGGATTGTCCTTCTAGCCGCTGTCGAAGTCGGGGCAGTTGTTTGCTACGCTTAGTCGCGCTCGAGAATCCAGTCGTCACGCCCCAGCGGAAGCGATGACAGCCGCATTATGTGGGTAGTGTGGGGCAAGCTCAAGTAGAGCCCAAGAGTTGCGTGTTTTTTGCTGCAGGGTGGGGGGTTTGCCTAACGGTCCAGATTGCATCGGCCAGAGGGATGGGAGGCATGTTCAAGTGTCTGCAGGGTAGGTAGTGGGGTGGGCGCGGCCGTCGGGTGTAGCACGTGCGTTTGAACGAATGTCGGTCAAGTGGCCACAGTCTGGGCGCTGTGTGTCCGCGTGGATGAGGGTCAAGTGGCCGCAGCATGTGGGGTTGTTATGCCAGAAAAAATCGGGTTTTTTATTCATCACAGGCATGCCAACGGCATAATTACAAAATTGAACAGACAAAAACCCAGCCCTAGGCGCTGGCTGTGTTGTGTCCAAATTTCAGCGCAATCGGTGCAGTACTTTCGGAGATTAACTATAACACAGAAAAAACCCTTCATTTTTATATATATAGATGAAAAGAGTGGATCTGTCGGAAATTATGTGGCTGCCAAACAAAGACTCCCGAATCATAAATTAGGCAAAAGGGGTTGGGTTGGAAACCTTCACTGCTATGGAATTGCGTACACAAAGGCTCTAAAAGCAATCGCCGAGAGCGCGGTCTCCATGCAAGTTGTGTTGTCTGTGCCCGCCTTAGAGGTGCTCAGACCCAGCGCATGTGTGCAACTTTCGTTGTCACAGCGTCCGCCAGCAAATCGGAGAAGGGACCGCGTTGTTTGGCTTCGAGCACTCGCGAGGCTAGTAACAAACCTCGCGTGTCCCAGCGGCGGATCTACAGGGAGTGTGAGGCGGAAAGGAAGGCGGCGTGGCAAATACGAAAAGCAAGGAGATCCGGACTGCCACAAACCCTCCATAAAGGAGCTAAGGGAGGGGTAAGAGGAGAAGGGAATTTGGAGGAGACGTTGTTTGGCGAACGGATGGATGGTCAAATATAGAACTAAGTTCTCTGGTGAAGACGGTTTGAGGGGAGTTAGAAAGAAGGGACGCTTTAACCTGGTCACCAGTCTCCACCTTTCCATCTGCAGACCTAAGGGCAGTGATCAGCTCCTGAGACCTTTTTGTACTTCGTTAACACCATACGGAATTTTCGAATGTCCCAACGAATTTTGCAGTATGTTCAGTTCACACTTTCTTCGCTGCTTTGAAGCCTCACTTTTGCAAACGTTGCGTCGCCGCATATATTCCCGTAAGTTTTCTTCGGAGCTAGTTCAGTTCAGTTCAGTTTATTGAGGGAAATAGACGTAAGCCTTTGAGTACCCTATTTGCAACGTAAAAAATGTGTGGTATACAGATAAATGTTCTGGGCTAAAATAGTTCAAACACGCCCATAATTGTAGGACAAAAAGAGAACGAGTTACAGAGGGTGAGTTCGAATTCTCATCGCTCTTGGTCATTTTGGAACATAAATATGTCCAGATTCTTTTTAAAACTTTGTATGGATGGTGACATCACAACATCTGCGGGAAGCTCATTCCATGGTTTGACCACCCGAACAGAGAAGGCGAACTTCCGCACATCCAGCCGTGCCTGCTGAGTGCACATTTTTAACGGGTGACCTCGGAGATTGGTCGTGGTAGCAAATTCAGAAAAGTCCTCGAAGGCCAGACTGCAATCCAACCCCTTTACAATGCGGAAGGCTTGCAAGAGATCTCCGCGAAGTTGCCTGTAACTCAAAGGAAAAAGGGTTCAGATTTACTAGGCGGGTCGCATAAGGAAAGGAGCTTTGACCCCTAACCATCTTCGTGGCTCTCCTCTGGGCTCTTTCCAGGCAGTTTTGATCCTCAACCGCCCACGGCCTCCAGCCTTGTATGCCGTTCTCTAAATGCGGCCGGTCGAATGTTCCGACTGTCTTTGAGAAAGCATCTTCAAAGTTGGTTTGCAGCGCCTCCACAGGCGATTCCTTTTTTGGGAGGAACCTTTAAACCCGAGTTTATCTAGTTTGGGCGGTTTTTGATTGTACTTCTTCCTAGAGGGCATTTGGAAAAAACAATTTTATTCAGTAAGGAGCGGAAAGCATTCCAATTACCTTTTGCTCCACCATGCAGTTTAGTCTCCCATGGTACCGCTGCCGCTTTTCTCCTCATGAGAAAATAGTCCCCCTTCCAAACGTTTATCTCCCACCTACCGATCAGAACTTGTTTGGAAAACAGTAAGTGCTCGAAGTAGAGCGTGATGTGGTCACTTGACCCTAACGGCGGGCGGTTCTGCAGGTCTAGAACATCTCCTCCTCTTCGGTCAAAGTAAGATCAAGGCAGTTCACCATCATGGAAGTGGACGTGCCTCACCGACCCCGGTATACACGAACCTTTCGTGATTAAATGCCTTAAAAACCTTCGAATGCCTACAAATATTACCCCAGCATCATTTGTTCGGTGGCTGACCTTGATCCGTTTATTTAGTGAACTCCTTTCCCGGCATATTTGAAGCCGTGAACTTCATACTAATAAGCACCAATATCGAAGGGCGCCTTGTGCTAGTCAAATGTCCAGCTTGGGAGTACTTTGACTTTCGCAACGTGTTGGGGCCTGTAGTAAGCCCATCAGTACTAAAACCTTAGTTGATTTTCTATATTATCGACACTCACCTGAATATATTAAATTATTCCGAACATAAACTATTCTGTTTAGGTTTACGCTGATGCATTTGCACATTATCAGTGATTGCCTCCTATTAGTTTTTCTTTAAATTGCTAGAATTTAGTTTTTCCCTTTTAATCTGCTTGGAATAACTGCCCTGCCCTTCCAGCACCTCCTAGCCCCGCCGAGCCCCATCAAAATTGGCGGGGCTGTGGAAGGGACTTTGGCGAGGCATTCAGCACAACAGCCCCGCCTGACCCCACCAGCGAAAAAATGGGTAGGGGATGCTAGATTTCCACTCACTTTTGGTACTCCCTTAAAATATCGACCTGTACGGTGAGCCCCCTGCCGGCAGAAGTTTCAGAACTCAGAATAGGCATTTCTCGTTCAGGGGATTGATTGCCAACTGCTGTCGACGTTGAGGGAACCTCAGACTCAGGCTCTTCAGTGGCCTCATAATATGCCTTCATCGGGCGCTTACTGCGCTTGTATATGGTGGTTCGGTGAGAGCCACGGTAATTACGCTCCATAATTGCTTTGGATTTTCAGTAAAAAACGATAAAAAAATTGCATAAGGGGTCTATGAACATTAATGCTAACTAGTACATAAATAGACATACAAGTCGACTACTTAAACTGGTTTGTGAGTAAATACCCAAACAATTAGCATAAGATACATAAATTAACTAAGACAGTTATTAAGAGCATGAAAACAGCATTGGTTGACGCACGATATTATCCGCGACCCGTGGGCGTAAACGAATGCTTTTTCCATGATTTATAAGCCACTTTTGATAAATTAGCTTCTTTTAATGCCAAAGAAGGTACAATGAGTGGTGCCTTTGAAACATAACTTTCGATGCAAATACGCTTCAAAATGTTTCGATTCAGAGGGGGCTCTGGCCCCACCCAGCCCCTTCCCTGCCCCGCCTATGAAGGGGCCATGTGCTGGCAGGTGGTTTGGTGCCGATGTGGTACTGGTTTATAAACCAGTACCGGTATACTTATCTATCATAAACTGACATAAAAATTTGTGTGCTATTCGTACTTACAAATTCAGCGCCTTCTCCTACTTTTCCAACCAAAATTTATGCGTTCACTTAGTGGCACGTCATCATTATGGATGACAGTGTCCGCCCAAGCAATAGTCTGCAGATACTAAATCACCCAACAATGATATTGGCGGGCTAAGACTCCCATTGCCAACGTCCATAAGTTACCAGCGGACGACTCCCAGTCTGAGCAGTCCGTTCTATAACGTTTGCAACCGCCAAACAGCAGATCCACTTCAACATCTATTTCTCTTGACACTTCCTCGATCTTCTTCTTCACATACCGCCTACTAGTGCGTTTAAATTCGTCTCTAAACATATGGGTTAATGAATCAAATAAGGGTATAACAGAGAGAAGCAGAGAGAACTTTATAGCACACGCCGTACGCGATACGCACGCAATAATGGCGACGAGCATGCGTGTGGGATCATTGATAACTCAAGCGTGCCAGCCAATGATTGTGGAAAATCGATAAACTCACCGCCCAATCAGGTGACGAGGTAGCCTTATCGATAGATTTCCGCGAGAAGAGTGAATCGGGTAGTTATTCAATGCTACTAGGGACCCACCATCCCCCCAACTGTCTTAAACAAGGGGCTCTTTGTTAAAGACATTTAAGGGGATGGTGAGTGCAAATTTTGGTTGGGTTCTTGACATGAGGGTTGATTTTCTCTAATTTATAAAGTGCGAAGTGGACGTCCTGTTTGCCTATTCGGCATGTAGTACCGAGCTGTAAGTCCTTTTTGTAGAATCTTCTAAACCGATGAGACTTTGCAGACGCTAGCTTCTCCTCGCACTACCCATCCTGATTTATGGTTTTTCTTGTGTGCTTTCAGGCAATTTCCATCCTACTTACTGCCCATGGCGAATGTGGATTTGATTCATGCCCATCCGCTTGCCGTACTCAACACGAGGACTCGCCTCACTGGGTTAAGTTTTAGACAGACTCTAGAAGATGAGTATGAGCATGTAAATAACAAAGTATATCGAGTACACACCCTCCTCCTGGATCGGTCGTCCCAAACATCAGAAGTGTTTGATGGTTTTGGCACCTCGATCAAGGCGGCGAGAAATGCCTCCGCGATGAGCGCGCTCTCATCGCATCTCATAACCTCTCGCATGAAAGAACTTCAGGAAAAGAGTCAAGCGCGTCTGTCGGTGCACGTGAGTTGTGTCATTGTTTAGTCGTTCGTCGGAATCTCACACCTCACTCCGTGTGCTATCATAATATACGTTTGTTATAGGGACCAACTTAGTGTCATTAGATCGAAGCCCGCAGTTACGGTTATTTTCTCTAAGCAGAGGGGAAAAGTACTGCAGAAGAACGTAAAGAGTGTACCCTAAATAGGGCATGCCTGTTTTTGCAAGTAAAAAACCTAACTCGTAACGGGAGCGTTTTGTTTTCGGCCGTTTAATCTCGTGCTTATGGGTTAAAAACATGAGTGTACTAGTAGATCACTATTTGGACCTAATTTTAAATATCTCTTTGCAGTTCCGTCACTTTTCTTCGTACTGCTGAATATTTTTATCAAACGAATAATTGCGCGTAAGTCATAGGGACCCTGAAGGCTTTGAAGTTTAAACTGTTGTCTGTGCTTCCTATCCACCAAAATAATGCGTTCACAGATCAGAAGTCAGAAGGGTTGCGGAATTTAATGGACGGCCCTTACTTGGCAAGAACGTACAGGTGCTTTGGTAGAAACGTCCGGCTGTTGTAATCGGGACGGCCACAAGCATGCGAGTAAGGCAGTAAGAATAAAATAGGATGGATGAAGCAGAATGAGGGAGTACCCTAGAGTTGGACTTTTTCATCGTACAATTGACATATTCGAAACAAAACGTGAAACAAAACAATAGTCAGTGAAATGAAGTTTGGCCAAGACAACAGCCTGGAATGGCGTCTTCCCCGGCCAACAAGCAGAAGGATCAAGTTGTCGATAGGTCTCTTGGGAAGGTGTGCGCGTCTCTTTTTCGAAGGCTGTCTGGATAAACGCGTTGCTGTTGTTTGCTCAGTGTTCTCAAGTTGTCATATGAACATAGTCATTGTTTTGGGCACTAACGGGTATTGCAGAATTCTGCTTGTCGGCTGCACTGTCGCTTTCCTGCTCGATTTTGGGTGGGTGATAGGAGAAAAGCAGAATGAAATCTTTGAGTAGGAATTCGGTTGTCTTCTGATGACATTCACCGACATCTTTTCTTCCTATGGAAGCAGATAGTCGAATGGATACGATTTCTTGTGTGACATTAGCGAACCGTATGTGAGCGTACTGGGGCTTTCACTTGAGCAGACCGACCTCATCAATGGGCGGATCACATTTAGACTGTCAGCAGCTCATCTACAGAACTCGGTCAAGAGAGGGGAGCTGCATATGAAGGGTGGTCACGGTTGTTGACCTGCGGTTGTAGAATCATGGTTCATTTTGAGAAAACGTTGAGTACGGGTCGTGATAGTTGACCATCTTGTAGATACTAGAGTCATTCAAACGCTTTTGGTGCCGACTAGTACAAGTGTGATTCGAATCAAGCTCCAGGTGTCGAGTTATTCATTAGTTGTGACTGGAGGCACGGGCGCCTTTTTTAAAACCGTAGTTACTATCGGCAGAGTGAAAGACATCCAGTCCTGAAAACGCCAGGCAGTTGTTGACTTCAGTCCTTTCAAAATTCAATACAGGAAAACGATATCCGCTCTCGTCTGCAGCTTGATGCTGCCAATTTCACACCAAAGGACCCTGTCGAGGATCTTCTGGTTATTGCGAAATTACTCAAGGTTCCATTGAAGAAGGTTGCTTGTCCTTCCGAGCTTCAGCCTGGTTCTACTAATAAGTGTGTTGGGCCCATCTCTCGGGGGTTTGCTTTCGGGGGATGTCACTTTATCGGTCATGCGAAGGACTACAATTCTGCCGAGCAAGCAGCCAGCCTTTCAATTCTTACGGTAAGTGTTATTTACCGTGATAAATGGTTTATATGTCGGTATTGATGAATATAATGAAAACTTATCCATAAGTTATCCCTCATAAGCTGTTTTTATGCATCCCTTAGCTCAAATAACTCAAAATCGATCAGTCCGTTGATTCCAAGAATAGTCCTTAAATTTGAACGATTCTTGGCAAGCCTATTCATTGATAAATTGATCCCCTCTATAGTCTTTGAGTATTTGGCATTACAATTACGTCAACATGCAGAGAAGTCGTCGTAATCAAACGTTTTGCAGATTTGAAGAAATTTGCTTGGAGAGTGAATCAGTGAGTTAGCAAATCGGTTTCCCTTAAATCTCGTTTCCTGGCGTATGAGCGTCATTCCAGATTCCTCAGATTTTGACGTTCCTGGCTTATAATGGTGTCCACTGTTGTATGCAGCTTTTTAACTTCGTGCTCTCTTCCTTCACTGTCTGTTTAACTCAAACAACATATGTGCCTCGGGTTAGAAAAAGAATGGGCTTTTAAGAACACCAACACACAGTCGTAGTCATGAAGTCCTCTAGGCATCTTTCTATTTGTCTCCCTAAGCTTTTCTGGCTTTATTTGAAGGGTAAGTTAAACATTCGTTGCTTCGGTGAGTATTGATGAAACCTAGAACTCCTCCCAGGGACCTGCACCTCATCAAGGGCACAGAGACTTCTAAGGCTTCCTGCACCGGACGTTCGGCTGGGCCATCTGTGGTGGTCGGGCTTCTGGAACTGGTCTCATGTTGATCCTGCCTGATGTATGGCGCAATCTTGATCCTACTTCATTTCTGTTAACTGTAAAGTGGAAGGCCTGTATAGGTCGGTCGCCAGAATTATTGTTTTACTTGTGAAAACACTCACATTTGTGCAAGGAACTTAATTCTGTTGGTGAGGCATTTTTGGTTGGTATTCTCTTACTCAACGGGACGTTTATTTTTTCGTACGATAGTTGTATTTTCACGGATAAGAAGAAGACTGGCTGAACTTATGGTCCCAGAGCATAGCCAGTCCTCCGCTTTGCTTGATTCAAGTGCTTGTCTCTATCGTTTTCATTGGTTACATAGATTGTTTCTGATTTGGTTTCGAGTATTCTGACATTGAATGACTCCATTTGCCTTTTTGAAACTGGCTTCATAGGTGAATGTAAATGCATCTTCATCGCGGCACATAATGTCACACTTGTAAAAATGGACTGATTTATAATCCACTGAATCGACAGTGACAAAGCAAGTATCGAAACCCCAGAAGATACCTGATTGGGCGACACCCAAGGATGGATATACTTGCGTCAAATGGTCTGAGAACTTGCTTATCCAAACTGGGATGTTTCCGTGTCAGAATTTCCTGCAACAACGAAGACGTCTGTGACAGTACTCTTAGGAGGGTTTTACCGCAAATCGAAGCACATTTGCTGGGGCTGTTCGGCCGGCAAGGAGACACGATACTAATCGCCACAGGGATCCTGCCACCACCGCATCCGGCCGCCTACATCCTTTTAACCCGGCCTCTACCAACGGATGAGTCCAAACATACTGTCCACGGTAGATCTCAGGAGGTCTCAGGCTGCGAGTGGTGCCGCTGGTCACTAACAGGGCAGTCATATTAACCAATAGCGTCAGTCTGGGCCCTAGCCGAGGTCGCTGCTCCTGCGCTTTTAGACTGGGCAGTTGCACGGCCCGACCGTGAGGAATTGTGAAGCAAAATTGTCTAAGACTTCGAGTGCATTTCTAATAATGAGGATAAAAGAAAGCTCTAACAGGATTTAAAGCTGAGTCAACCTGGTAGTTCGCTTGCTCCAACACTCCGGGATGGCCGAGGCAAGAAGCGCTAGTAGAAAACAGATCTTGCGCAGTTTCTAAACCTTTCCATCTAAGCTCCTTCAGGTTCAGTCGTGAAGTATGAATGACACCGTCGTCAACTGTTCATTGTGGAGGCATTTGACGTGATAGGACAGCCGAATAGATGTTGCCCAATCGGCCCAAATGTTGAAAGCTGTTGCCATATCTACGGACACGAGTGAGGCTGCTGTTTTATGCATTTTGAAGAGAGACGATAAATCACTGCGAAAGAATTCTTGCGGCATCTACTTTTTTGAAGTCGATGGGAGAAAAGGAAAGCATCACGAAGGCGTTGAGCAAGGCAGGGCGATAACGCTCAGCGCTTCTCACACTAGTTTCTAGTCGCCGTTTTTCAACAGTACACTTGTTTCATGCATTTTATTTCGGTCTTGCCCCACTCCATGGGAACCTCATCCCGACCTACCTTGTGCCATCAAAGCCGCTACTACTGTATTCGGACCCAGGATAGCAGAGGAAGGCCTAGAGTCCGAATAATTAGTGAGGAGGACCATTTACTTGATGTCACACTCGGTTCTCGTCAAAGCGTATCATTTTTCAACGCCTTTAACACACATTTTGGAATACTTGTACGTCACAGTTGGTTGCGATTCGGGCATTAAAGTCGTCATCCATGCCAAGCTGGCGGGGCCACCGAATTTTTTGTCAACGCACAACTTGCTATGTCTTAAAAAGTGCAGAGACTGCCGAAAATATAATTAAAGGTCAACCCAGTAGAGATTAAAATTAACATAATCTTATCACTGCTATGCGCGTTGCTTTACTACGCTATTGGATCGACCGCCGGAACCACTTATTTACTCGTCTAAGTTTTCGAACTCGTACAGGAGTCCATCGTCAGAGATAAAAGCGCAACAGAACAAGTGAAAATTATAGCCAATCATCTGTCGATGGCGCAAAACTGGACGTGACTGCGTTTGCTCTGTATTCCGGCACCAGATTCATACATCGATCGACCGAATTCTTATCAGAGGCCCAGACTTCAACAGATTCTTGTCGTGGACGACTATCATCGTGTCTGCGAAGTTAAACCCGTGACACTTTGCGTAGGTGTGGGCATCCACTTGTGATAAGCCTTTACCCCGTCGCACAGCCAACTTGTGTTCGTGTATGCGCGACCCGAGTATGCATTCAGTTTGAC